GTCACCCCCAGTGTGAGGAGCGGCGCTACCTCACAGAGGACGTAAGTTCTGCAGCTCCTGCAAAAAGCTGCCCTGAAGGCTGCGTTGTGGGTAATTCAATTTTCTGTCTGTCTCCCATGAACAGCCCCGCCCCCCCCCCCTAGGTATTGAAGCCTGAATCTCCCCTTTGGACTGACGTCGTTCCGATATGTTTGACAGTTTCTTCTAGCTACGCATGAATCTGTCCTAAATGTTTCCCCAGGAACGGTGTGAACCATGTGACCAGTCATGTAGAACCTGCTCTGGCCCTGGGCCCAGCCAGTGTCTAACCTGCCCCCGGAGCCACGCTCTGCATGCTTCAGAGAACCGCTGTGTGACCTGCTGTGAGCCCTGGGCAAACAGCACTGACTGCTGCCCCTGTGTAGCAGGCTCAGGTGGGTTTCTGGCCCCCGCCCGGGCAAGAACTTCACCTGCCGGGTGTTAAGTAAAGGAAATCATCAGGTCATCAGACTCTTTATTCACTCATTACATGTATTACATGATGAGGGTAAGGTTTCTGAAGTATTATTTATTCAACTGTTAGATGAAACGTCATCTGACGTACCTGATGCTGAACTGATTCACCGATACACTGATCACCTAAGTCATCCAGCCGTGAATACATCATTGACTGGGCCCAGACATTAGATAATATTTTTAATCAGAAAATCAAGTAATCAAGTGGTGATATTTGGTCCAGTTGGTGAATAAGTCAAGACGTAGGATCCAGTGGAGAATCTCAGACCCTGCAAACCTTCCCAGCTCTAATTTCCAACTGATAGCCCGACTCTCATCCTTTCCCTAGCGTCCTGTGTGGAACCCCCAAGACCTTTGGGAGAGAAACGCGGAGGTGCCTGGGACCAGCAGCCTCAGGCTGTCCGGCACGTGCCAGTTGCGCTGACCACCGTGTTGCTCCTTGGGTTGGCAGTGGGGCTCACTTTTCTCCTGCTGGCCCAAGCCAGAACCAGGAAGTGGCTCTGCTGGCGCCGGAGCTATGAGACGCTTAGCGGCAGTGCCCAGGCAGGGCCCACTCAAGGTAGGATGTCCCACGGTGTGGAGGACCCCAGCAACATGACAGGCGAGGCAGAGGTGGTTTACTCCAGCCGCGATGGCACTCTGTATCGCCGCTACAACTTCCTTCAAGATCCAGACACAGAGGGAGAGGAAGAGGAGGACCTGAATGAGAACACCTCTCTGAACAGACAATAGATTTCAATTGTTTCCTTACAAAGAACTGTTCTTATAAATGCAGGTAGTAATAGTCATCCTTAAAGCAATAGGCCCCCGGTTCCACTAAACGCTCTTTTGTAGGCTACTGTATGTACAAACAAAATCGCACATGTGAAGATGTTCTTCCAATACATGCTTCTGAAATGTATTTGTTTTTCTGACAAAGCATGCATCAATATAGAGAATTAAGTATGAATAAATAAACAAGTGATCAGATTATTATTTTTTTTGTCTTGTCATGGCCGGCAGGGATGGAAAATAACAGGAGTAATTTAATGTATAGAGTTACGCAGTAGTACTTAAAGGGCTTGGTAAAACTCAATTGCTTCCACGACTAACAAAGTAGTAGGTTGAACACCCTGAATCACACTATCCCACACACAATGCCTGATCTTTTGCCTGGAAGTCCTCATGACCACTGAGCAGAACGCTGCAGGAAGAAAGTAACCATCGGGGGAAACCAGAAACGGGAAGCAGGACTTACAGTAAGTTGAAAAACCAAACAAACAAAACACACCTAAAACAGGACTCCAGCAGCCTGACAATACCACAGAACACTAGCTAACCAAAACCACGAACCTGGAATCTAAACACTAGCAAAACTGCAAAGTCAGGGGTAAGATACCAGCAAGCAAAACATAGAGCAATTGTAAAGAAAGTGTTGGGGGGTCTATGTGTTGAAAAATCCATGCTTTATTCAAAACACATTTAGCCGAAACACAATCCTAAGAAAGCCAAAAGTCATAAAGTAGAACTGAACAAAGACATGCATCTTAATTCAAAGTTGATGAACACGGGTAAAGGACTCAGTATAAAAGGGTAGATCAGAACCTGAGGCTCACTGGAGAATGTTAACCAGGTACTGGGAAGATCCGGGTCTCTAAAGAGCAGTACCCGCTCTTCACAGACGGCTCCTGATGCATGTAGTCTCCACCATGGTGGCCAACCTGGTCCCCTGGGTCATGTTGAAATTCTCCTTCTAATGCCGGTTCTAGAATATCTTTCCTGGGTACCTAGGACTGATCCTCTAGGTCACTGGTGTCACATTTTTGGGTTTCCCCTCGTTTAACACAATTCAACTTCTTGTGCTAATTACCACACAGCTGTTGAGCTGAATCATTTGTGGTGGAACAGGGAAAGAACTAAGCTACTCAGGGCTTCGCCCCCCCAGGACTACAGTTTGACACCCCTGCTCTAGGTCATAGCCCTCCCAGTCTACCATGTAATGTAACAGTTCAGAACAGAAACAGGAGGCCAACAGGGTGCAGATGGAGTAAACCGGTTCACCTCACATATCAAATGGCGGGTGAAGGAGATCGGAGGGTGTTTTGGGGTGCTGGGGGCTGCAGTGAACCAGTTTCATCAGCAAAACGTGGGTCCTGTAGTAGCGGATAAGTTATTGGGTTGATTCATCGTATTATTTTGAATGGACTTTGCGGAGTTGGATGTCGCTGGTGGCAAGCCATACAACATTGACCTGGGAGGACTAATGGCGTGAGGCGATGGCAACGGTCCTTGAATGCCTCCTGCTTACCGATGGCTCATCGGAGATTTGTGTGCACTGTACTCCACTCTTTCAGAACCAGCGGCTCTAATCTAACTAGTTTGCTACACAATACTACAGTATCTCAGGTACCAACTGATCTCCTGGTTCAGTCGTTCCATCTGTCCATTAGACTGGGCATGATACTGACACCCCCAGTCTCTAATGACTCGCCAGACGCAGGAGGAGAATTGAGGACCCACTATATCCATGAGAATGCTGAGTAGCTGAAAAACTGTCCTAAAGGCAATCCACTTACTGAACAGCTACTCATATCCCCAGGAGTAGAACCAGGTGGGACATCTTAGAGAAGCAGTTCACTATAACCAACCCTACAGTATTTACCTGTGAGGGGAGCAGATCGGTTATGAAGTCCAGTGCTATGTGTGACCAAGGTTGAAGGAGAAACCATAATGAGTCTAAGTTAGCCGAGGGTAGTTGTCTAGGGTCAACACCATTGACCTATCGAACTTGCACTTCTCCAGTTTAATGAATCATTTATTTTTGCCTGTGCAGCTGCAGTACACTTTTACATGTCGAGTATGATCATCAAGATCTGAGGATGAAAATAAGCATGTCATCAGTGTAGACCACTATACATCAATCAATCAATCAATCATATCAAGGAACACTTCATTCGTGAAGGACTGGAATATTGCTGGTGCATTACCTAATCTGTAAGGCATGACCATGGACTTGTAGTGCCCCCGGTATTGATAAATGCAGCCTTTCATTCATCACCTTTCCGGATCCAAACACCACACCTGTTGTAATAAAGCGAGATGAGGAGCAACGGAAACTGGGTGTTTACAGTTGCATCATTGCTGGTTTGGTAATCTATACACGGATGAAGATCCTCATCTTTGTTTTCTATGAAGAAGTCGCTCGCCAAGTGGACAGTCTTATAAATCCAGAAGCAAGTGCCTCATCTACATACTAATTTAAGGCTTTGTCCTCAGGAAGTAATAGGGAGTAGATTCTACTCCACAGTAAGGAGGTGCCCAGCAGTAGATACATCATGCAATCCCATGAGCAATAAAACGGAAGGGTAACGCTGGGCGATTAATCGAATTTTAATTTCAGTATTGATTTTGGCTTTGAATGATTAGAAAAACAAAATTATCAAGATAAAAATGATTATTGTGCCACATTTTGTTTCGCACTGATGCCCTCATTTTGTCTTGTGTTATAAATACAGCTTTTTATTTGGCTCTCAGCTGAAATGTATTTAGAGTTCAAGTAAATCCACTGTTAAAAGGACAGGTTTTTTTAAAAGTTCAATAAATGCATATTTCCACAGTCAATGTCGTGTTAAATAATCGTAATATCGATATTGACCCAAATAATCATTACTATGATTATGATGTCATAAACAAGTAACCCTACTGAAGGGCCATGGTTCCTTCCTTACTGAACAACTTGACGAAGGCCTGGTTATCCAGAGGCAATGACACCCTGCAAAGACTGGCTGGGCTATCAACTGACATAGTGTGAAAGGGTATACTCAAGCACTCAAAACAGCAGCCGGTTCCCTCGGAGACTATCTCTCCCCAGCCCAAGAAAAGACCAAATCATGTCATGGCTCCTACCTGTAAAGTAGCAGGAGTCGTTTGGTGTGAGATCCTCTCTGAATGCACAGGTTTCCCATGCACGGCTAATACCTGTAGGGGAGGCTGTACCTGCCATGACGTGATGTTTAGCATTGTATTAATTGCACATCCATAAAGTTCCCTGCTACCCCTTAATATACTAAATCTGAGCGTGAGATTGACATGTACCCAACTGTAATCACTGCCATCTTACATAACTGCCTTTATGTAACATTTAAAAAAGCAGAACTGCAGGAAGAAGACACTGGCAGTGGGGTGAGGTGGTCTGTAGGGTAAAGGTGATGAGAATCCATGCGCTGAAGGATCCATACTTCATTCATGACACATGCACCCGAAACACAATCCAAAAATCAAGGTCAGAGAAAGATAAAAGTCGTATACCAGATTGGAAACAAGGGTTGCTTTTCCATACCTTCATACTAAAAATGCGTTTACTTTTCCTTTTCCACCGATTTCTGGTCAAGTGACAGTACCAGAAGTACCAGAAACCAGCTCGGGAACTTTTTTGGTACTTTGTGGCGGGACATGCAAATGCATGTACTGTTATTGTCATTTGTTATGCAAATAACCTACCTCCCGGAAAGGTTTAAATAGCAAGGATGAAAATGATAACTGGCTTGGAGAGTGCAGTGGAGGTACACTTTAATTTTTCAAACATATACAAGACAATCCTGAAAAGGAACAATCATTAAAATTGCAAAGTTTTGATCCCTATGACAGACAGAAAATGTTTTAGCCAAACTGCCGCCCCCCCCAATCACAATATCTGGATAGTATCATTTTTCAAATTCAGTACAAAAATACCAGCCTCATATTGTGATGATACTATGTTATTTAGGGCCAGTACTGGTTTTTACTCCAGTGGAAAACCAAACCAAAAAAAAAAGGAGGTCAGTATAAACAGGTAGATCAGGACATGGTACTAGGAAACCACTTGTTATTTGAGGACCAACTTCACGGTATCTCACACAGAAGAAACATGATTAGCAAGTATATATATACATACTGGGCAATTCATTACAGGTGCTCAGTCTTCTTGCGAGCTATTGGCTCCTGGACTCTTCCATGATTGGTCACAGTGATAGACAAAACTCTAAGGATTAAAAACAGCTCAATGATTCTCCAGGACGTTTCTCACAAAGCCACTGCAAGCCTTTCAATCATTTATCAGCCTCTTTGATGGGCTGTAACAATTGTCCCATAGTATATAGTAAATCTGCTGTCACTGTCTTTAATAAACTGGTAAGGTCTATAAAAATGTCATGGCTTTGAACAATCAATCTCACTCAGACAAGTATATAAGGCATTTTATTCAGCAATTCATGAAACAGGATACACTTATGTCACCTTTAACAAGAGTGCACAGGAACACCCAGGTACACAAGGAAAATGGTGCAAGCAACCAAGCCCAGTTTTGTCTGCCCCAAACCAGCCTAATCCCTTCCCACAATTTAATTTTTACAGTAATGGTTTTAAATATTTCTGAAAAGTCTCTGAGAAAAGGTTGACATGCCTTCAAGACCGAGGCACACACTGGATATAAACGACTTCCTCGGTTGTTCTGCCATCATCTGACAGACGCCACAAAGGCCAGAGCTGCTTATTGATATTTCAACAAAGTGCGAGTTTTGTGGATTTCATGACATTTCCTGTTTACCTGGATGATTTCCAGGTAAACAGGCTGCACTAAAGATTTGCATCCACCCAATAAACCAATATTTGAACAGAAAATTCAAATTTTTCTTCATCTCAAAAAATTTGCTTAAATGTATTAAAGGTAAGATATTTCTGTTGGCAGTCACTCAGAATGTACAGTATACATGCATGCGCAGACATGATTTCACATGAAGCTTAACCACACCCCTTGGTAGACATTGTAAATAATTTCATATATGAACAGTCTTCAATTCTTACACCATGCTTGATGCCTCATGCGTCATAACAAGTGAAAACATCTTGAAATGCCGTATTACTCACTTATCGCTGTATAAACATGGGCAGTACTCTATGCTAATGATTAATATGTTTTAGTTTAAATTCTCTTTCTCAGTCATCCAGATTCCCACACACAAATCTGAGCTTCTATGTTACATTTGTCTTCTGGGAAGGATGGATGCGTTGTAGATCAATCTAAAAGATTTTAACCAAGTAAATCTACTCAGTAAAAATATGGCACGCTTTAAAATTATCAATACGTTTTTAACATTATCCATATTTTTATTTGGGATCATCATGTTATGCATCTTTCTAAAATTTTTCTGGAAAATGCTTGACCTGCCTTCAGGACCAAGGTACATGCTGGATACAAACGAAGACGACTTCCTTGGTTGTTCTGCCATCATCCGAGGAGATGTGACAGACGCCACAAAGGCTGGCCTTGTTCGGCTCCTAGCTATGAGAAAGAAAAAACAGATGTTGACAGAAGATTT